GGTGCGATAAATGCAAACGATATGGACCATTGATTCACCAACCACCTGAGGAATTGCACGTAATGGCCTCGCCATGGCCTTTCGCGCAATGGGGGATGGATGTGGTCGGTCCTCTGCCAACGGCAAGAGCTCAGAACAAGTATGTGTTACTGGCCAGGGATTACTTCACTAAGTGGGTGGAAGCAGAACCATATCCAAGCGTGACTCAGACTCATGTGAGACGATTTATTTGGAACAATATTATCTGCCGTTTCGGCGTTCCAAGGTCAATAGTCATGGATAATGGCACGAACCTCGACAGCAAGCAAGTAAGAGAGCTGCTGGAGGAGTATGGAATTAATCAGAAGTTGGCTGCAGTAAGTCATCCTCAGGCCAATGGACAAGCAGAAATTACAAACAGAACAATTTTCGCCTGCATTAAGAAGAAGCTGGAGGACCATAAAGGGAAGTGGTTGGATGAGCTCCCGAACGTCCTATGGGCTTACAGGATCACCCTAAGGCGGCCGACTGGGGAGAGCCCGTTTGCAATGGCATATGGTACCGAGGCGGTTATACCGGTTGAGCACTTGGTCCCAACTATCAGAAGCTTAGCATGGAGTCGAGATCAGAACGACAAAATGTTAAGATTGAACCTCGATATGATAGACGAAAGGAGGGACGCTGCAACAATAAGGTTAGCATCATACCAGCAAGTATTGGCGAATAGTCACAACAAAAGAGTGAAACACAGAGATTTTGCCCCTGGCGATCTGGTTCTGAAAAGAAAGGTGGGGATAGTCAAAAAAATGATGCCACCCTAGGAAGGCCTATACAGAATTGCAGAAGTCATAGGCAAGGGAGCGTATACGTTAGAGACCATGGCGGAAAGGTTGGTTAGCAAGCCCTGGAATGCCACGTCTCTGAAGAGGTACTACCAATAAAAGCTAAGTTTCGGCTTTATTGGGTGTTGTTTGTTGTCAATCAAGTACGTATGAATGTGCAAATTCCTGAAATTTATAAAAATAACTTTCCTCTTCAATGGGTTTTTAAAAAAAAAAAATGAATGAAAAGCCAAGTGGCAAGTGGCATTCTAGCCGAGCGCCAGGCACTTAAGCAAGATAAGTGGTAGCTGGCACCATAAGCCGAACGCCAGGCACTTGCTAAAAAAATGAAAAGCCAAGTGGCAAGTGGCATTCTAGCCGAGCGCCAGGCACTTAAGCAAGATAAGTGGCAGCTGGCACCATAAGCCGAACGCCAGGCACTTGCTAAAAAAAATGAAAAGCCAAGTGGCAAGTGGCATTCTAGCCGAGCGCCAGGCACTTAAGCAAGATAAGTGGCAGCTGGCACCATAAGCCGAACGCCAGGCACTTGCTAAAAAAATGAAAAGCCAAGTGGCAAGTGGCATTCTAGCCGAGCGCCAGGCACTAAAGCAAAATAAGTGGCAACTGGCATCATAAGCCGAACGCCAGGCACTTGCTAAAAAAAGGAAAAGCCAAGTGGCAAGTGGCATTCTAGCCGAGCGCCAGGCACTTAAGTAAGATAAGTGGCAGCTGGCACCATAAGCTGAACGCCAGGCACTTGCTAAAAAAAAAAAAAGAAAAAAGAAGCCAAGTGGCAAGTGGCATTCTAGCCGAGCGCCAGGCACTTAAGCAAGATAAGTGGCAGCTGGCACCACAAGCCGAACGCCAGGCACTTGCCATAAACACGCACATGACAAAGTTAATATAAAAAAAAAAAAAAAAAAAAAGGTATATATATATTGAAAATGGGTTTGAACAGAGCGCAACACAAAGGCAAAAGAGAAAAAAGAGTTCTGTCATCTCATTCATGATAAGCATTGGAGTTACAAAAAATGAAGTATTCAAGTCACATTGTTACAAAGAAGTATGGAATCGAAGAGTCTGGAGGAGTCCTAGCTAGCTGCCCCAGTACCGACAGCCTCCTGGTTGTGCCGATCCGCCTCCTCGGTCCCGTCAGCCATTTCACCCTCACGAGGTGGGGAATCAAGATGAATAACAGAGTCATTCTCCTGGGGGCCAACGTCAGCAGTGACTATAGGAGAGACCACAGTTGACGAATGAGGAGCGGTTAGAGGCTGAACGGTAGGAGGAGCTGTAGTGATCCTAGAGGAAGCAATATCCTGACATTCATCAAATATATGCTCCGCTTCGGTGGGTTCTGGGTCAACATAGACCCCCAAAGGATCAATCCCTAAATCCTTATCGACCTCATCTGGAGTTGAGCTGGTCTGTCCTTCAGCCGGAATTCGGTCGGAGAAACCTTCTCGGAATCCCTGAGCATATCTAAGAGCTCCGACTCTTGAGAACCGAGCATGAAGAGCCAACATCCCACCGTTCACTCTGCTGATGGTATCAATCAGAGCAGTACGCTCGTCCAAAGCTCTCTTCTCAAAAGCCATCCGAGCAGACTGTTCATCAGCCAGAAGGTGCTGGAGCTCTGCCTTTTCGTCTCTGATTGAATCACGTTCAGTCTGCCAAACACTCTTCTCAAGCTGGAGGGCATCCTTCTCATCCTGAAGAGAGTCGTTTTCCTTCTTCAAGACATCTCTTTCTTGTTCGGTTTTTTCAAGCCGAGCCAATACCTCGGTATTCTTGCTGGCGAGAAGGTCGTTCTCCTTATTGGCCACCTCCAGGCTATCAGAGAACTTACGGGCCCTGGCGTTCCCTATTTCCACCTGCTTCTGCATAGCCATCATTCCGAACAAAGTCTGCATAGATATACATTAATAATGGTTAAACCGATAGTCTGGTCGGACGAAGGCAAGACCAAATAATATGAGAGTATTCATGAGTTAGAAAATAAAAGTCACCTCCATGGCAGATTGGGGAAAGCGGCTGAACACATCCTTCTGGAGTCCATATGCTCCTATAATACGCCATGGCGGTCTGGCTATCCTTTAGCATGGTCTCGTTCGGCTTCATGAACGTCCCATCCGTTCGGGTGTACCGAGGAGCCCATGGTGGTAAAGTGGGAAGAGAAGGGGAGGCTGAAGCAGAAGCAGAGGCACCAGCTGCAACAGGCCCGGAGGGGGCAGGAGCTCTGACTGGGCGATGCAAGAGAGCACCCGGCCCAGAGACCCGGGTCCTTCTTATAAGAGGTTCCTCCTCAGGGTCGACCCCACCGTCAGGATGAGGCCTTTTGCCTCGTTCTTTGTCCCGAGCGCCCCCAGTGGCAGCAGGGGCAGTAGTGATTTGTGGAGACGCGCTCGGGTTGGTAGCAGGGGTGCTGACAACAGAATCAATAGCCACCGTGCTGGGGATGGTGTCAGAGATGGTGGCTGAGGAAGAGGCTGATGCAGGAGAGGAGGTTGCCCTAGCAGCAGAAGTGGCTGGGGGAGTATTTTTCTTCCTACCAAAGGATGGAATCTGAAGCCTGCTCATGGTATAGCCGAGGGATGAGAGCGCTAGAAGGTTGTCTGAAGTGAGGAGGTCTGAGCAAGAAGGAATATCGTTCAGAACGTATTTCTTCAAGTAATTACTCCTATCCCTGCAAACACTGTAGCTCAAGTCATCACAAGGTATGCCTAAGGAGCGACATAAGAAAGTACAAAAGCGAGGAACACATGTTTCGCAGGGACAATCGTTTTTATGAGATTTGAATTTCTTATATGAGGAAACAGAACAGACGCCAAAGGCACTCGGGATTGGGTAATCCTCTGCAGCCGGCGAAGACTAGGCCCCACTAATGCCCACGATGTTATCCCTCCAACCCTTTTCAGATTTGATTGTGTCCGTACATATGGACATCTTGTCGATCGGGTAGAGGTGGTAGAAGGGCTCGTTAGTTCGGATCTTACTGACCTTATAACACAGAAGAAGATCTATGAGGTCAAGGTCCAGACTTCTGTCACGAATCAAGAGTAGCATAACGGATATGATTCTAAAGAAATTAGGGTTTACCTGCAGGGGGGATATCCCCAGTCTATTGAAGACATAATTAAAGAAGGGGTGCAGAGGGAACCTAACGATATTCAGTTGAAGGTTTGAAAATAAAACTTCGCCGGGAAGGAGGCCAGCACCGGTCATAATATTAACATCCTTAGGGCAAACCCTAACTTGGATGTTGTCAGGAAGTCTAAGTCTCATACGAAGAACATCTAGATCTACAACCATGGTGGAAGTGTTTGAAGGATCTAAAAGGGTAAAAAGAAGCCTGCCGAAAGTAAAAAGGAACAAAACTAACCTCTGAGGTAGAAAGCAACAAAGAGCACTGCAAGACCGCTGGAAGAATGACTCTTGAAGGATTTCACCGGAAGAAGTTTAGCACTGTTCTAAAAGGATGAACGAGAGATTTGACTAATGATGGAGACGGTAAAAAGGCATGAAGTGGTATTCTAGAGCCTTATAAAGGCAAGGGGGACCCGAGGGCCGAAGCGTCAGGAAGGCGAGAAATTCATCGAGCCCCAAAACATTGATTCTGGATCTGACCGTCCGTTCCCCCATGTGGGTTTCTCGAGCCGTCAACGTCATGATGAGACGCCTTCAATAATTACCCCCTTATTAAACAAGGGGTAATTATGAGGGCAGTTGAGGAGGCCCGAAGTGGCATGGGCCGGATATGATTTGCAAACGCGACATCTGGTCCGTACAGATGGGTCAGGCCCATAGAAAGACACTGCCATATGGGCCGAATGCGAATTAGCCCATCAAAGATGACCAGAACTCATAGAGGAACGGGCCTAGATCCAGCAGTCCATCGACATTTGTAAATATCTATAAATAGGAGAAGTAATGAATAGAGTGGGGGGGAGATATTTTTTGGGGTTGAAATACAAGAGTTCTAGAGAGAGAAAGAGAGGAGGAATTTCCTGCATCTTCACCTCCGTTCTGGTTTGAACAGGACAGTCATTCAGTTCCAGGTTTTCTTCAGATATATTAGCTGATTTGATTCATTATGTTGCTTGAATCCGGAAAGGAATCCTTTGATGAAATGTCCACCCAAAATAAGTATATATGTTTACAATACTTATCTTATTTGACCATTCCTTTTCTTGGGTGTAGCAGGTCCATTGACATCTAGACCAAGAACGTCATATTTTCATATCTTGCGTGATCGCTCTCTGCAGCCCCTGGTTAGTACCTGTACACAAACACTCACAAACCATGTTTCTTCGCATGCAATTTGATGAGCGATGTTATTTTAGATGACAGATTTCTTCTGTATATAACCAACGATAATTAAATTATATCTTATTGCATTCAAATATTGATTAATCTAGTTTCTCAACCAATTTTATACTTTTATCCATTCAAGTTTTGATTGGTCTAATATATCAAAACCTAGCATCTTCAACCAAAACTTGAATGAAATCAGCTTGGCCACTAGGGAAAGTAGCATGAGTATAGGTGGTTGCTTCACCGATGAGCCTAAAAATTTCTCTGAATTGATCTCAATTGAATTGACAGAGTACATGTATGTGTGCGCGCTGCCGAATTTTATATATTTATATTTATTTTTTTTTTATTTCAGAGTTACAAACTTTAGAAATCAAGTCATAAAACTATAAGAGTCATCGTCATAACTTGATTTAAAATATGCATAGACCACTACTATAGCTGCCAAGCACATGTGAAATTACTAAAAAGCACTGAGATTGAGCTAGATAAGGCCCACTGAGGGCCACTGCTCCACTATTTGTATTTTTATCTGTAAAATCTTGACTAATAGTAAAAATGCCCCCTTGACCTTTTATTTCTCTCCCCACCCCCCTCTTCTCTTTTATATTTCTCTTGCTTAAGCTTTCCATATTTATCTCACGTTTTACGTGCACGAACAGCAGTGAAATGCCAAGAACCATATCATCTCCATTTTGACTATCTCCAACTGAATTTATTTATTATCTTATTATTCGTCAGAGCCAAATTAGTTTTTTATTTTTATTTTTTATACATAGTCAAATTAGTTTTTAACTGCGTCACTGAAAGCACTTGATTTACCAACAGGCCTGTGGCCTAACGGTACAAGACCCCTACTTCCCAAAGGAAGGTCAGGGGTTCGAACCTCAATGGAGGCAGTGTGTATGAGTACCAACTAGGAAAAAAAATAAAAAGCACTTGATTTCTAATATTCGATATAGCATACATGAAATGGAACTGGCAACCTATTAACAAGTAAAACATAAGATAAGTCTCAATATAACTTAGAACTTAGTTATGCAAGGTCCCAAGCAGGCCCAACCATGAAATTGAACTTGTTTCCAAAGTGGCTCTTTTCTTTAACATTTTTTTTTTTTATACTCAGAGGCATGGTCGTTTTTTTACCACGGCTTCTGATAAAGCTCAAGAAGACGGGAATGAAGAAAAGCAAAAGTAAGCTCGTGCTTGCCTATACAGGAAGTAGTCATTGCAGGAGCAGTTATCTTGAACTTCTTTTATTTTTTTATCCATTTATTTATTTTTATGTGTGTTTGTTATATTTCTAGGAAGGGGAGGGAGGGTGGTACAGGAAACACATTGTTGGAAGTAGTTGTTCAAATACATGATAGAGTTTCCTTCAAAGTATTAACAGATAAAACAAAGGAGTTTCTTTCAAAGCATCGAGGGATAAAACCAAATAGAGGAACCCAAGAGGGAGATATGAGGGGAAAAAAAGACCAAGAACTCTAACTGGAGAACGTACTCCCTCCAAACAATAGCATAAAGTAGGCGAAGTCCTTTCGCCTAAAATGTTGTACTCCAAGTTTCCCACTTGCTGTACCAAGAGACATACCAAGAGGGTAGTGTAGAAAACATACTGTTGGAAGTAGTTGTTCAAATACATGATGGAGTTTCCTTCAAAGCATCAAGGGATAAAACTAAGTAGAGGAACCCAAGAGGGTGATATGAGGAAAAAAAATGACCAAGAACTCTAGCTGGAGAACGTACTCCCTCCAAAAAATAGCATATAGTGGGTTCAGCCATAATGTTGTACTCCAAGCTTCCCACTTGCTGTACCAAGAGAGATACCTCTGAAAAATGCTAATTGCTAATATGCCCAAATCTCCTACATATAATGCAAATATCTTTGATTTCCATGGGGCGATCTGTTCCATTAACTAATTACAACTGTAGTCGGGCCCAAACAAAAACTCAGAGGTGCCCCTTGAAACTCTTATTTTGTTCAATTCACTTATGAATGCTCCACAGGTGGATTTTCCACCAACTAATCCCTTTTCTTGTCAGACCAGAAGTGCGTCTTGAAACTGTTATTTTGTTCACTCACCTTTGAATGTTTTATCAACCAGAACAAGTTTATTAAGTGGGTCAATTTAAGTATTAAATAAGAATGTTGGTCAGGCACTATACTACTAGACCACATTATTTTTTCTGAAATATGCTTGTAGATTTGCTACAAAAATTAACAGCCTGATATCTACGGTCGCATCATCTAATTGATCTCTCTATACCCTCGTCTTTGATTCTCCAGAATATCCGTGACTTTTGTTGACAAAGATGGCGAAGAGAAGCATATTAAGGTCCCCATTGGAATGTCTATGTTGGAGGCTGCTCATGAGAATGATATAGAACTTGAAGGTAAGCACTTAAAAAAATATATGTTATTTTGTGGTTGCACCTTATGCTGATTCATTATGATCTCTTCGCAAAACTTTGCAAGCATTTTGAACTAGTTTTTAGCGGTCAAGATGAGCGGGTATAGCAGCACTCTATCAGATTTTATACTAATGATGTATAGGTTAATCCTTGAGATCATATCATGATGGAACTATTTTAAACTTGACAACTACAGAGCTGCTCAACACTCCTCTAAACTTCTACATTGAATAACTAACTAATTTCAATTTAATTACAGGAGCATGTGAAGGATCCCTTGCTTGTTCTACTTGTCATGTGATTGTGATGGTAAGTTATTGCACAGCTGTGTTTCTCAACATGAATTGTTGTGCAGCTAAGAGAAGATCTATTGCATATTAAGCACTAACCTGATGAAGTTGTATTTCTCTGCATGACTTGTTTCAAGTGATCTTGCCATCAATATGCTTGCTAAAACGTCTCTCTGGCATCTGTTCTTTTTTTGTCATTTAGTTTGAGGGTATTGATTATGATTTTGTCAATGCATTAATTTGCCGTGGTGTTAACTCTTGAGAATCTTGGTTAGGATATGGGGTACTACAATAAACTAGATGATCCAACTGATGAAGAGAATGACATGCTAGATCTTGCTTTTGGCCTTACAGAGACGTAGGTCCCTCTATCTTGAAACTGGTCAATAGATATACTCTTATCGGCCAAGCTAATGTAATTCTATGTAATGATTTTCTGCAGGTCTCGTCTAGGTTGTCAAGTTATCGCACAACCCGAACTTGATGGAGTTCGATTAGCACTGCCTCCGGCTACACGAAACTTTGCTGTCGATGGGTATAAGCCAAAACCACATTAGAAGTCCTGGATAGAAAAATAGGCTGGAAAGAAGATTTTGAGTGTAAAGGACAGGCTCTTGCCAGTTTTGTAGCATCTCCATCTTAGAGAATTGAAGGGTCTTGGACCCTGTAGTAGCGAGTATACGCTACTGATAATTCCTTGGTACATTGTTCACTTCATATTTATTTTTTCCCCAAATTCGATACTGCCATGTATGTCATAGGCATATTGACCTCATAGAAACAGGCAGCTTTGCTCGAGTGGCTGACTCATTTTATTGGTCGGTTTCTGGTGACAGCTATTGGTAATGGTGCGCGGTTCTGTTTCAATACGCGGTTTGGTCTAATAAGAAGAGTACACCTTGATTTTCCTTGGTACTGCTGGAACATTTTAGTTCAAAGTTGATGCACAAAACTTGTTAGCTCTTTTAACTTAGCCCTCATCAGGAAGTACAACCCACTTGTTGATTCTTAGTGGTCCAAATTCATATGATATGGTTTACAGTTTTGTTTTGTGGGTATACATGGTTTAACTTTCTATTTTGGTTTATATAGCGTTCGACTTTGAGAAAAATCATTGTCTTAAGTTTCAATGCAATGCAAGGTCAAGACGTATCTCACTCTGGAATGCCAGTTTTTTTGTTTTTTTCAATCATGGACATCCAATGGCCAAAAGTTTGCGTGAAGTGTTGGTGTATGGATGACAACAAATTGATCCCGACACATTGAAATTGGGTGTTTCAAAGTCAAAAATCTACCTTGACACTCATAATTAGTCAATGTGAGTTCAGGTTAACAAAAATGTGTTATTACAGGAATGGTATATCGATGTTACTATTACATTTAATCATATTTAAATGTGTTCTTGAATTTTTTTTTTTTTTTGGACTTATGCGTCACAAGCAACTTGAACTTATTCCCAACTAATTAGTGAAATTTAGAAAGAAAAAAAAGGGATAATTATTCGTAGATATACAGACATGATTCAAGACACAGCTGATGTGAAAATCAAAACATGTCTGTCCATCGATAGCATACTGCCGACTAAAATACCTTGTACCCTTGTAATGAGAATCCTTTAAACAATTCTTGAGGGTGGCACCTAACGGTACGAAAATTTATTAAATTAAGGCTCCGTTTGGTTGTGCATAATCTTTTTCTTTTTTTCTTTTTTTTTTTTTTTGTAATATATTTTTTAAATAAAACATTTTCATGTAAAATATTTTTTTTACTTTTTTATTTTTTGGTATTTGATAAAGTCAGTAAAATATTTTCTGAATCAGTTTTTGTGCACAATAACTCTCTTTTTTTTAGTGTTTTTCACCAACAAAGAATAATACTCATAATTAACTCTCTTTCTTCAATATTCTTCACTAACAGAAAATAGTACTCTCTAAATCATCCCCTCTTCGTTACTTTCTCTTTCATCTCTTTCTCTCTCCTCTCACTCTTTGTTATACATGCAGAAGTAAGATTAAAAATAAAATTTTTATATTGAAATGATTGAAAAAGATTAGTTATTATAGTGACATAGAGTTTTGGTAAATTATTTTCAATCATTTGAGGGTAAAATGATTTCCATGGAAAATGATTTCCTAACTCTGGGTCTCCCGTACATCGAAAAATAAAAAATAAAAATAAAAAATATATATATATATTTTAAAAAAATTTACAGCCTAAATGATTACCTTGGGGTCTCCCATACACCTAAATAAAATTTTAAAAATTTTATTTACAGCCTAAATGATCCTCGACTTGTGTTTCAATCCAATTAAAATAAATTAACATATAAAACTTTAATTAATTTAACATGAATTTTGATTAAAACCTAATAATTCGTTCAAAAGTACAGTCACTTGTTACATTTTGTTTACCACTCTTAAAACATCAAGAACCATTTTGGAAAACCTTAATAAAAAAATTGAGTTCTGACAGACGGGAAGGTCCACCAACCAAGCCGGCTGGGGCATCACACCGATGACGGATATCCCGGAACTAACCAAATAATTATCCCCACGTGTCCCACACTTCGGCATGCCTCCCTCTACCGACGCCGTCTAACCCCTCAGTTTTTTCCGTCAACCCCCCCAACAAACAACTTTTATTTGTGTCATCTAAATCCACTTAACGCCCCGTTTATAATTTCGCCGGTCAACACCAAAAACCCTAACTTTCCCCCTTTCTCTTTCTCTCTGTCTCTCTCCTCCTTCCCTTTCTCTCTCTAAAACTCCTCCCTGCGGCCGGTCGTCGTTGACCCATCATCAGATCGCTTTCGTCCTACTCACCCGGCGCAACGTAGCATCTCCACCATGGAAGACGATGAAGAAACCCACTCACACCCGTCGCCTGAGTCTGGATCTCAGGCTTCTCCGCCGCCGAACGGGAGGATTACGGTGACGGTCGCCGCCGCGCCGCCTCAGAACACCCTAACCCTGGCCCTCCCGATCCAGCAGCCCAGAACAACCGGCAACGGCGGTGGAGGAAGCGGTGGCCGAGAGGATTGCTGGAGCGAAGGGGCCACATCGGTGCTCATCGACGCCTGGGGCGAACGCTACCTCGAGCTGAGCAGAGGCAATCTCAAGCAGAAACATTGGAAAGACGTCGCCGATATAGTCAGCAGCCGAGAAGATTACACCAAGACTCCCAAAACCGATATTCAGTGCAAAAATCGCATCGACACGGTGAAGAAGAAGTACAAGCTCGAAAAGGCCAAGATCGCCGCCGGCGGTGCCCCGAGCAAGTGGCCTTTCTTTGACAGGCTCGACCGATTGATAGGTCCGACGGCCAAGATCACCTCCGGTGCCGGAACATCCTCCGTGAAAGTGCCTGTAGGAATCCCTGTAGGGGTTAGGTCAGCCCAATTTCAGCAACAGCAAAAACAGCTGAAGCAGAAGCAGCAGCTCCGGAGACGAGCTCCGGTGGATTCAGACTCGTCTCCGGAGCCATCTCCTGCTTCAAGCGACAGTTTACCACCGGAGCCGTATGAGCGGAAGAGGCCTAGGGTTCAGAGAGAGTTGAATTCGAATCCAGTGCGTCCCTGCACCACACGGGGCAAAGATGTAGAACGGAGAGATAAGAATTGGGGGAATTCGGTGAGAGAGCTTACTCGGGCGATTCTGAAATTCGGAGAGGCATACGAGCAGGCAGAGAGTTCAAAGCTGCAGCAGATGGTGGAGATGGAGAAGCAGAGGATGAAATTTGCAAAAGAGCTTGAGTTGCAGAGAATGCAGTTCTACATGAAGACTCAGTTGGAGCTGTCGCAGCTAAAGCATAAGAGAGTTGGGAGTAACAACCATCATAGCAATAACAATAACACCAATGACAACAATAGTGATAGCATTAGTTAGATTTAGATTCAAATCAAATTAGTATGAGCCAAATTTGTACTTGAATTTGGTAGTTTGGATGTTTAACTCTCTCTTTTCCTTTGTTGTTCAAATTTAACTATTGTCAAATGTTGCAATTGTTAACTAAGCTTCAAATGAAGCTCATTATTGTATCAAAAAAAATCTCTCTTGGTATCCATTCTGGAAATATTCTGTATATTCTCTCTTACAACAGCCTTGCATATATGCATACATACAATATATACATACAAGCATAATATGCATGCATTAAGCAGTTTTTGTATGGTTCTCGTCCAATAAAAAATTGTTGATACAAATCATCAATATATCACACATCTCATTTTAAAAGTTTTTCACTGACATCTTTAATTGACATCTTCAGCAGTGCGCTGTGTACATGAACTTCAGGATCACCTTTTGGGTTGAAGTACTCTGAAGATGTCATGAATATTCCTGCAGCTAAAATACAGTTTTGTGTGTCAGTCGCCATAAGAAACAAAGATGATATACAAGAACAAATTAATATTTGACTGGAAGTGCACGTGATAAGAGCATTACAACTGTAATTAATCATATGGAGCATGTGGTTTTCAAACTTGTCATTTTAGGTGCCTTTCATGGACAGAAAATCTCAAATGAGTGTGAATATAGTTCTAAACAATCCAATAACATAATACCCTTGTAAAGTATGATGCAAAGAGAACAATCATAAATTAATATTACGAAGCAAGGAATATTTAAGGCATTATATCAGCCCCAAAATTGCATGCTAGTTTAGAGTTCCACCCATTAGGTGAAGTCTATATGTTTATAGTGTGTTTCCGAGAATTAAAGTTTTTCTCCACTTCTGCCTCCAAGCAGAAGCTTTAAAACATCTTCATAGTATAAACGGGCAGCAAGCAAATCAAACACTCATCACCCTAAATCTAACTGCATTGACCTGAAAATCTAGTTCAATGACATTACAAATGATGCAGACATGCGGTGGTTAACTCACCCAAGTGTTGTGTAATACAAAATGTTTGTCTGGAAGTGATGGAAGTTCACTTGGAGGCTAAAAGAGCCAAGGAATAGTTTTATCCTGCTAAAATATGATTTGGAAGTTCTATTGTAGTCTCAGGTAACACAGGGTGGTTGTAACTGGTGCTGATATGTGTGTGTGCATATAGGATATCAGTTAATATGTGTTTTGATCCCGCATAATGAAATTCTTAAGATATCATCCACTTCCATACGATAACACCATTTCATTAAGTTGACCAAAGTTCGAACCACCTTTTTTGGACCGAACAGTTAACTGTACAATCCAAAAAGTTCATTTTCGTACTTTCAGGCTGTGATTGCCGTCTTAGTAGGAAATTGGGAGAGAGAGGTTAAAGAAAAAAGAGAACCATGATGGTCCATGTGTCTAAGTGTCTTTTATTTTATTTATTTATTTTTTTATCAGGAACAGCTTTTGTCTTACTGCAATACAAGTGAGAAGCTGAGTTAAGCAAGAAGATGCATAAAAATTCAAGGGGAAAATTGATAGTTTGTCTACAAAGGAAAAAAAAGTTTTTTGAGAAGATTAGAATGCTTTTATGCATCATTTTAAGGTCACTTAATGAGCCGTAGAGGAAAGACAACAAAATAGAACACCATATTCCATCCCTCTACATTTCTGAAACATTCATAGTTTGGAATTTCCCTTAATATAACCAAAGGGTGAGTGGATTAGTGGATTTCTTATAGAATGTGATATATTAAGTATCAGCCTTTCAATTCATAGCAACCCTTCCATCATTTTCTAAAGAAAATGTTATTCATATGAAAGTATGGGGCAATAAATTTGTTACAGTAATTTGTAGTTTGAACCTTGAGATTTAAAATTTGAACCCTACAATTTAAACCAAATATTAACTAAGGAAGATTTTGAATTTTATGACTCAGAATCGTATTGTATTTTTCTGAAAACTCATGCCTTATCATATGAATGCTTTTACACAACAATTTTTTAACTTGAGTGGAAATTAATTATCATTCTTTAAAACATAAATACTTAAACATTTGAAATTTGAATACATAATTTCATAAATTGAGAATGGTTTGACAGTATGTTACTAGCAGAAGACATCAGTATTGATGGCACAATAACATTATAAAACCTATCAGGAAACCTGTATGGAAGAAGATAGTGTGGATAAGAGATCCAAGTTATAGGGATATTAAAAAGTTTTCATGGATGGTTTTAGCCGAATTGAATATGTTGAGATAGATCAACCTTGGTAGAAGGTATTTCTAATAAAATAACTAAAAATTGGAAGAGGTTTAGGGTCAGATTTTAGGTACTTCAACACAAATTGAATATCACATTCAACTATAACGCGATCACAGTTCAAATTTGTTTGCTAATTTTAAGCCAAGAAATTGTTTTGCCTATGCCATCTCAGGAAGAAGTTACTGAAGTATTTGGGTGTATGGCTGATAGGAAGCTACTGGAGGAATTCTTAAACATCCTAAACCTACATCCTACAAGCTTCAGTCCCAAGTCCCGACTCTTTTCTTTGGCAAAGAGAGTGGCATTGAAGGAAGTCGCCAGTCACGAGCCAGGAGAGATCCTTATCCCCACTGTTTCCACCAAGGCAGACCAAAGGCTTTTTCTAGTCTGGTAGTAACTCGTAAACTCCAGTCAAGATCCATACGCTACATTACAGTTGACACTATTGCATCACATAGATTGCAACGGGGAATGAGCCGACAAACTGTTAATCGTTCTGGGTAGGGGTGCACACGGATCCGTTGAGACCCGCGAACTGGATCAAACCAAACAAAATCTCACACAGTTTGGTTCGGGTACGGGAATGAAGGGTTTGATTCTCGTTCCAAAATTTAAGGAACCATGAATTTCGGATTGAATTACAGTCCAAGGGCCAAAAACCGGTCCAGACGAATGACAACTTATATATAAATATAAGTTATGCCCAATGCGCGAGACTCTTGCCACTCCGAAATACGGGAACGGTTAGATGTACACAGCCTTACTTCTGCATGCAGAGAGGTTTTATTCTGATTGGTAAAACACAAGTTAACTTATATATATTATATATGTTTCTTACCTAACCCTAATCTATCATCTCTCATTCACATTTCAGAAAACTCATACCAGCCAACACATCCACCCTCCATCTCCGTCTCTCCGTCATGACACCAGAACATTGTCATCGTTTTTCTCCATCACTAAATGATTACCTCTGGCAACCTCCACTTCCCTTTCATTCTTTTTCAACAGACGCCTCATGTGATTCCCTCATTCAGCCGACAAATCACGACCCTCACAGGAGTCTCCATCATCGACCACTTTCAGGGCCTAGTTTATTGCTCATGATTAACTTGTAACTGTGGATACCACGTTACATACATGTTGTACAAATGTTTCAAGTGTTCTACCTGATAGAGATTATCAAGTTAAGTCTCTGATAAGTTGAAAACCAATTTGGGAATGGATTAAGGATCCATGAAAAGGCAAACCAGATCTCACACATAGCAGAGGTCAATAAAAAGCTTCATTTATGATGCACCAGGTTCAAGACTCTATACCACAGGTATAAGGCTAAAACAAAAGCAACTCACAAGCACCATCATAAAAGGGTTGATCTTGCCGGATGCCATTGGCACTTCCCTTGAGATTGGCTGCCTAACTTTGTTTATGATGGAGGAAAAGCCGCCGTATCCACCAAAGCAATCCAAACCGATTTCAAACAGTTCACATTCGTTCAGTCCCATTGGTTCCAAAAGTTCAGTTTGGTTCCAATTTTTAAGTGTTGAGACCGCCTTGGTTCTGGTTTACCCCCTAAGTCACTGAGACCGGTTTTACATTCTTTTTCAATGTTTGATAGAATTGAATTATCATATTTTAAAATTAAAATCATCTAAATTACCTACCATATACATCTAAATATATTACTTCTCAAAAAAATATATATATATATATATATACATATAAATATATTGAATTTTTTTAGCACCTAAAGCATCAAAACAATCAAGATTTACCACAAATCTTTTTACAAACAAAGCCAATAACACTACAAAACTCATAGATACAAAGTAAACTCCCTGGAGGTGTAAACAAAACACAAACAGCAATGTAAGAGCACACATAAAGGTTCATTGGTGTTAATATCACATGACATGTTATACACACCCCCCCCCCCCCCCCCCCCCCCCCCAAAAAAAAAAAGTGACAATGTCATAGAAAGATGTCATTTGAGTATATTATATGACAAACTATGGAAGTTCAATTTAAACCAACTTTACAATTTAAGTTCAAACATTCCGATTCATTTTCTGAAGAAATTTGCCCAAACGTAATGCGTCAAGATTTTGATCCTAAATCTAGTTGAATTTTGAATTTGAGCTGATGATTGTGTTATGGACTATGGTAAAAAACTATGAATGCTTACTTTTTTCTGCACCCATGAAGTTTAATTAACTTCTACTAGTAATTATTTTTAAGGAGGAAAAAAAAAAGGCAAATTCATCATCTGCACCTAAGAGTCTGAAATCCACGTATATACGGAGTAGATAAAGCTTGGCCTTTACAATTAAACAAAAGAAACTAACAAGCTAATTCCATGACATCTACAAAATCCAAAAATTACTCCAAATATGCTTCAACACCCAGTTGTCCATCTAAACAAAAGACTCGAGAATTTACTTTTTAATTATAAATTTGCTCCCCCATTTCGCCAAACAATCTCATATTTCTCTCCCCACATGAATCACATCAAACAAAGTGCAGCTGTTTGCCTAGACCTCCTTCTCCCTTTCTCAACCCTCCAACTACCAATATCTCAGCCATTGATCTGGGGAACACCCAACCCATCCCAAACAAATTCAGCAATAAGGCACGAACCTCCTTAAATCTAAATATTATGAGGAAAGAGAGTATTTCTATTTATAGCTAAGAAAAATTTTTATGGAGGTAATTGCTTAGTGCAATGGTAAACACTCAGATTGACAAGCAAGCAAATGCAAGTTTGTTTTCAGTGTTCCCCTCCTAGCACCTCTCGTATGTGCGACATACACTGAGCCCTTTATAAAATTATATTATGACAAACTAGCAGGAAGTGGCTTCAAAAAACTCATCATTACAAATAATGGAGGAAAAAGGATATTATGATACCCACTTTTCAAAGGTATTAACATAGAATGTCCCATACCAGTTTTACC